TTTAATGACATTTTGTAAGCAGAGGATTGAGTCATTTACTGAATAATACTGAACAGCTTTTTGAAATATTTGAAACCATAAAGAAAAATATAAGTCTGATCAATATTGACTTAATTGATTGAACAAATCTCACTCATATTATATAAAAAAAATACAATATACATTAATTGTTAATACCGTAAATAGGAATATTTTGGCAATTATTACAACAAATTAATTGAAACGTTTGACCTTTAAACGTTTTTGATTCGAACGTATCTGATGCATATCATGTAAAAGAGACGCGCAGCTTCCATACACACTTATCAGCCTGCAATCTTTGATTAAGCATTGTAAAGTTCTTTCTTTTTTTGGTTTTAACATTGATTTTATTATTAGTAATTTAAGGCATAGCAAAACATTATTGTTCACAGCTTTTACTACACCCTGCCGATACTTTTATTTTGACAATACATGTAAAAATGATCATGCTTTTCTCAAATTTCATTTGAAGATTCTACAATATATCCGTCGGAGGATTGTTCCTTTATACTCAAGTATGTGAGAATATGATTTGTGTAGCTACATCTGTAACTGTGGGAACCATATATACACAACTCTTGTGATCAAATATTAAACTAGAGAGACTTATAACTGTAATGTAAAATAGCTATTTTTTTAACTTTTTGCATAATTTAAAAAATATTTCAGGTAACTGCATGTATAAATTGTCCTGTTAATTGTGTTTGCTTTTGAAATCCGAAAGAACTATTTACTTAAAGGACCTTTGAAATTGAAAATGTACAACAGATGAAAATTCATTGAACTACAGATTCATTGGCGTATTTAAGGACGAAGATAAAGGAATAAATGTTAATCTCAGAAAGCAGTCGAAATAATGAATTATATGAAAACACATTTTTAGCAGTTATAGTATTCTAAATCTGTACCATTAAATATATTGCAAATTATGAATTTCTAAGGAAAAAAAAACCAATCTTTAAGACGTTTGCACAAAATTAAACACTGCTGAAGTACTGAGTTCGCCAGACAAAAACGTCAAAGTGTTTTAAATATTAAAGTATTCAAAACTGATAAACAATTTGATTGTTGCTTAAATATTAGTGATATGTATGTGCAAAGTATAAATTACATCGTCTTGATAAATATTATGGACATTAACCAAAAATTAGCGGTTCATTATTTGTACCGTTAATGTTATAACTATTACCTGGTATTTATTTCTGATGGGGGACTTTTAGTCCCTGAGGGTACAATAGGTCAGAAGCTAAGTATTTAATTACTTTTATATTGGCATGAATATATGGATATTGTGCGATTGGATTTTGCAGTTTTAAACCTAAAAAAAAACATTTTAAATAAAGGAATACACCGCCCTCGTGAGTAGGTTAGATTCCTTTCCTGGGTTAAGCTCCATGATTTGGTCTTTTATCGTTTATATCAGATTCGTTAAATATTAAAACTTAAAAATAGCGTTAACGTTTGACGTAAATTAAACAGTCTCTAAATCATCGACAATTTCGTAAACATACTTATATTTATTTTTATAATAGATCAAAGGTCAATTTTGACAAATAGTTCAGATCCTTCTAAACCGTATCCTTTAAATTAACTATTTTGATGATAACTTAAAATTGAATTGGGATGTATTTGGCTATTCTGTTTTATTATGATATTTTTGGCGTTTTGTCTCCGCAAGTAATAATTAATTTGTACATCCTTTGGGTTTGAGAGTTCCTGATGAAGTTAATTCAGATAATGTGGTAGGAAATGGTTCAATACGCGTATAATTGAGAACATAAATGTCTTCTGAAAGCCTTCGATAATAAGAAAAACCTTTACCGCATGGTCTGCTATAAAATTCCCCTACATGAGAAAATTTGAAACAACGCAATCGATAAAAACAACGGCCTGACTAATGACAAAACAATATATGAAAAACGAATGTAACAGACAGCAAGCAACAACACCTACTAAATTATAGGCTCCTGACTTGGGACAGGCACATAAATAGTGTTACGAGGTTCAACATGTCCGTGTGTGTTTAACCTTTAAAAACATGTAACAGTGAAATCACAGCACATGTTAAGTATAAACGATAAAAAATACCGACCTGAGAGTAATGAAGTTATAGAAATCAAGTCCAAGGCCAATAACAACTAATACATAAAACATGTCTCCCAGGCTAAGGTATCCACCAGTACACATCCAACGAATCAAGTGTTAAAACTTCATTAACAGTTTTTGAAAAGCATGACCTTGCGCTATGATTTAGTGGTTGGTTTTGTTCCTATTAACAACATAACCGTAAAACTTATCATTTGATGTCTCATTTTTTATTAGTACAGCCAAAATTCAAAACTAAATCTTTGCATGTATGAATGTAAAAGTTTTAAAAAATATATGGTAACGAAATATCTAGCTTAATACTTTACCAGTTTTACATAGATTACGTTCACTGATATTCAAACTATTTTAAGTACAGGCATGAGCTTATTTAACAAAATCGGACGTTAATTTACCGTAAGAAGGAACATCATCATACAAAAAAGTAAAAATTAACAATAGGAAACGAAAAATCGTTACTTTTGGCGTAAACTCTTGTTTTGATTTTCCTTTGTGAATTTGATATATTTCAATCTAGAAAAGACAAATACTGCTATTAAAATGTGGTGATAATGCATTGTTTAAAATTGAGATCACTTGGAGAAATTAATGTAGTCTAATTAGATGGTTCTTCATCATTTAAGGCAAATACATCATCAAGGTTACGGTACGTGTAATTAAAAATATCAATTAAATGTAATTACGACGAACGTTTTCTGAGTTAGGCCATACGCTCTGATTCATAACACATGTAACAAGTATGTTATTTCAGGGGTGCAATTGGTACCCATAGGGATACCTTCAATCTGTTGATCCAAATAAGGTATAATATTGGACACACAGAATTTATAACGGAATATTTTTTATCTAAATCCTCAAATGTTGTATCTTAGTTTCATTACGAAAAAAGGATATATATTTGATCGAGGAGTTTCATAGCTTGGTTGACAAATGAGCCTCTATAATTGTGATGGCTCGTTGCCTCTTCCAGGTTCAATTAAAACATTTAAATATTTTTCAACAACAGCCATTGTTTTGTCATTATCTAAAATGTGTTGTTTCTGGACAGTTATTAAATTAAAAGCACCGTCCCTTTGCTTTAATATGATGTATGTTAATATCGGCAGATTTGTCAACATTGCCTTTCCAAGTAAGTCACCATGTCAATTGTTCTCTTGGTAATATTATTATCTACATCTCTCTTCCAAAAACAGCTTTTGATTAAATTTCAACAGTTCATATTCTGTCATTATGATCGTGTATTATAGTAGGACTATTTACATAAATGTATATTAATGTTCGTAATCTATAGTTCATGTACATGTAATATAAATATAAGAAAATGTGGTTTGGCTGTCAAAGTGACTACTTTCCACAAGAGACACAACAGCTTAGTAGTAGGTTACTATAGGTCACCGTACGGTCTTAAACAAAAAGTAAAACCTATACCGTATAGAAGGCTATAAAAGTGAAAAACAGGTGGGACAGACACAAACAGCGTATGACTTGATGAAAAATGCTTATGGGTGCTTAACCATCCCATAACCTTAACAGTGATGGTACAACACAACATAAGAAAAAATTGTTAAAATCAGTTAAAAACGTTTTGACTCATCAGATCGACAAAACTATACACACCTTGAAAAAAGACTAGAGATGGAAAGAAGTTGATGTCCAAAAGGGACAAGTGCGCTAATGACAGGCATTCGTCTGTAGCGGAATCTAAGTTTTCATGGTCGTTGCATTGACTGTTCAAATGTGCATAGACAAATGTTATTTTCGGAACAAATGTTCTTTTGTACCATTTTATTTTTGCATCAACCTCCGTGCCCCCACTTTTCACCTCCGATGTAGAAGTTTGTAGTAGCATTATATGTTACCTTAACCTTTGGCAATTAATTATAGCATCCAAGTTTCTTTTAACGAACCATCGCTTATCCATTGACACTCGTACTTAAACTGTAGTGAAGACTTTTCCAAATGACAGTTCTTTCTTTATTAGACCCTGTTACGTATACTGACCACCAAATTCTTCTGAAGGATGCACTAACACTACTATACATTAGAAGTATACAGTCAGGTTGATGATTTTAATCGTGTACGAATGAATAAAAAATCGTATAATAGTTTAAAAATCGAAGAAAACTATTTGTTTACTCTCATTATTTTTTATGTATAGGTAAATATCTATATGCATTGGACATCTTCGCCTCTTTTTTGCGTGTAAGCTGTAAAGCCAATGTTTCATTTCTGTTTTGAATTTTTTAGTGTGATGCTTAATTTTTCCACCCTACATGAATGGTGCCTGAACCTAAAAGTAAGAAGTATTCGGTCATAAATGTTGTTTTAATTCCAGCTTACTTATGCAATTTCAATTAGCCTGTCATAATTGGATTGATTGATTGATTGATTGTTGGTTGCTTAACGTCCAGTGGCAGATATTGCATGCATATTCAGGACGAGAACAAATTTACAATAAATACAATAGGTAGGTTCTGTAATAGAGGCGTCAAGGATTAAAGTCGGGGAAATTTAGACTGCCACGGGAAATGAGGGTATATTGGATAGGGACAGAAATTTAGCCTTGCAACAGGTCACCTACGGACCCCTCGAAGAGTTGTTGCAAGGGTTAATTCCTAACGTGCAAAGGGCATGGCAGTCTCTTTACACGAGACATCGGATTTAACGTCCCCATTCTGAACGGACGTGGCTGCAAATTTATACATCTCGCACAGCCAAACGGACGCTCCACTTTGGCAAGGGTTTGCTGCCGGTCGGAGGAAAACCAATGGTAACCATACTTCTATTCCCCAGTCACCCTTGGGGTGTCATAATTGGAATAACGTCATATGTTGTTCTGTACAAATATGTACTACAAATGATTTATTTTGTAGCATGGAGTCATATTTATCACCTTAGGACATGCAAACCAGATGAAGAGAGTTCATTGCCTAAATACATACTCGGCACATTAACCTAATCCTATGGCTTATTAGTAATCACTTAGCAACATCAATGGTCGGACGAGGCAAATTTTGCAATCTGTCTTTTTTTCACCAACAATGCCTTATACTGTATGATATGCATGGATCTTGATTTCGGATGATGAGACTGATAACGACATTGATGTTTGTGTTGGTAAGTATATGACTTATCAATTCTAAATATTTATACATGTTAATTATACACTGAAAGAGTTGTTGTAGAACTAAAATGTAAAATATCTATTTATCTGTATATTGATATATTTGTCAAGCTAACACATACTTTTTTCTATTGACTTTGCTTGTTTCACATTTTTACATCAAACTTGTTGCAATACTGAGCACTCTGAGTACATGCACAATTGATTTCCATTTGCGGTCATATCGCATGTACATAAGCTATATGTAGCTTGCATATCGTGTCTCATGTGACTGTATTATTGAATCGCAAGACAAATATGGGGTCACACTGTGTTTTATAGGAGCGAATTAACAAAAACTTAAACACAAAAAAAAATTAAATAATGTTTCAACTGCTACCGTCAAAATCGTTGTACATGTACATTTCTAAATGCCTCTTTAAAGTACATATTAGTGGTAATTAACTTAATTTACCTAAATTGCACTTCGGTCGCATAAAAAAAATATAAACTGAAATACACGAGTCATGTATTCTTCATATCTCAAAGTCCAACGGCTTCCTTACGTGGTACCCAACACTTTGACTAAAATAGATTTGTCTCGTTTATTTTTTATAAAATTTTCACATTATATTTACTTTGACCTATTGACAAAATAAATAGATATGTCAAGACATTTTAACGACACAATTTGCAGAAATAGTTTCATTTGATATATTGAAGTTTGACAAACACCAACATTGATCATTGAGAAGCTTGATTTTTCTTTAAATATAGTATATAAAACTTTTAGCTGATTTGTTAAAGAGTAAACTTTTTTTCTGATCTGTACCGCTTTAAACAGACAGTGTCAAAGAGAATCATATTAATAAGTTTAATGTGTTTGAGCTTTTGACTTTACCATTTGATAAGGGATTTTCCGATTTGAATTTATCCTTTGAGTTTTGTATTTTTGTTATTTTACTTTTCAATACTGTAAATTCAGAAATTATTGCGATGTTTTTATTATTGCGAAAAATGCGACAGGGTTATAATTGCAATAATTTAAACTCGCATTTTGAAATTTTTTATATGAATTAAACAGGATTTTTTTCAATATCGCAAAAATTAAAATCACATTTTAGTCTAAAATGACAAAATCGCAATAATAAATGCACGCAATAATTTCTGAATTTACAGTAAGTACTTAACGTTTGATTATTGCCACTGTTTTATCATTTTAACACTATCGTCAGAATATGAGAGGCGAGACGAAACAAATGCAAACACTTTTTTTTAATGTTGACCAGTCGGAAATAGTTCTTTACTACACAAGTACAATACATGTCCTTTGTCAGTTTGTAGGGTCAATCAAAACAAAGTTTAGCTAGTGCATATCTATTAAATGATACATCATGGTTTACATAACATGTTCATTTACCATAAATCTTTTCTTTACATCGGTATATTTAATTGATATCATTTTTACGGAATCTATTCCCTCCTGTCCAACCATAGCATACACATTTGTGTATTATTTTGCTTGAACTACGTCTAGGCATTTGTTTTGTTTTAATTCACGTGTCAATCCTATAGGTTACAATCAACCATTAGAAATTATGGGGGCAGCCATTTTATGAAGAAACATGTCATTCAGAATTATGAGTATGGCTTATCCTGATTGGTCGATATGTGCACCCGTTATTTTTTTATTATTAGAGACTTCGTGCACTCTGCATTATACCAAAGGCAAAATAATGTATTTTCTTAGCCCTAATGGAACTGAGAAGTCTTTTCTACGCTACAATGGGACACGCGTTTTAAGTGCCAATTTGATAGGTAAGGGAGATAAGTACCAATTACATAAAAAAAAGCCACGGGAACCTATATTTTTTGGACCAAACAATACTGTCCTAATAATTTGTTTTATTAATTCTAGCAAGGTTTGGTTATTAAAATCAACTCTCTAAAGTCTGTATCTCGAAAAAGGCTACCATTGACGCCTATTTGAAAATTAATTGTTTTTTGCAATTGATTGCGTTACACGTTTAGCTGAAAGGTTGCACCGGAGAACATAATCTCGTGCTCAACACATGTAATTTGATAGGCGGGTTTAAAATTACGTTCAGAAGCTACAAAGGGTGTATTTAAAAGTAACATGCTCATCGTCAGATTGATCGACCATTTCTTAATTAAGCTATACGTATATTGGTTTTACAAGAAATCGTTTTAGAAATACTATCGTTTGTTTCTATAAAATTCAATAAACAATAATATGATATTTGCTCCTATATAATGATTTTTCATAAAAATCAGTGAATGTTTTTCAAGTTTTCAACACACTACTCGGTTAGAATTGAGAGAAGTATAGAAAGGGGGAAATATTTTAGTAAAAAAAAGGAGGAAAGAATAAAAAAACTATTTGAGCACTAATCGTTCCTATCTGACACTGCTGTTTGGTAGGGAACCCGTAGAGAGTGGTAAACGGATTGTACTGCCTTTATCGGTATATTTTATGCAAGGAAGGTTTTTTTTTCAGTTTGCATACATAACACTTTCCGAAATATCCTTGCTTATAATATCTGTACTTACTATTATCCAAACTAACCTCTCCCCTTAGCGTAAAATCTCCGACTCTCGGGGTTTTGGGGTATTTTGAATAAAACTCTAATAACATAAACGGTACCAATTTTTCTGCACCAGATGCACATTTCGACAATCAATGTCTCTTCAGTGATGCTCAAGGTCAAAATATTTGAAAATCCAAAGCTTATTAAAAAGATGAAGAGCTATAAGCCAAAAATGCAAAAACGTATAGCCAAAGCCGGGCAGGGTATCAGAGCTTTGTATGAGGGAGATACATTCCTTAATTTTAAATTGTTTCAAACATTTTGTAACAGGAAATTTCAATAACACTAAATCCGTATTTTCATGCCAGTACCGAAGTTCTGGCTACTGGGCTGGTGATACCCGCGGGGACTATCAGTCCACCAGCAGAGACATCGACCCAGTGGTCTATAAGTAGTCATAACATTTGAGTGTGTTCTTATTATTTAATTAGAAGTACAAAAGTACGCATACACATGTTCATTGTTGTCTCGGACAAGTTCGAAATTCTGTGCCAAATATTTGTTTGAAAGGAGTTATGCCACTTTAAATTTAAAATCTAAATTCTATAGAAATTACCCTGTAAGCGCTTTCAAGTATACAAATTGCCAGGCTTTTTATAAAATATCAAAGGTTCATTCAAACAATGTCTTTGAAAATTCGAACAATAGCGCTGATAAAATATATTACCTGGATATGCATCATTTAAAATCGATATTTTATTGAAAAAAAAAAACATTTTAATGCTTTCTATGTGGCATGACTTCACTTATTGTTGAAGGCCGTATTGATACTTGTGTTTGGTTACATCTACATCTTTTGACGATACACGCACATGTAGTTGTCTCATTGTTAATCATGCCGCATCTTCTTTTTTATATTGTTAACGATCTAATGCTTAAAATTCTGGCAACTTATTTCTGAAAAGTATAAAAGAACATCATATGATAGCACACTGATTATATGTTATCTGTTATCACAAGGTTGTTCTAGGACGGTTGTTAAGATCATATCTCCTAGAAAAATGTGGTGTGTATATATGTTTATGACATACAGTCAGATACAGCCTGACGCGTACCACTGAATCAGTATATCTTCAACGTTATAAAAGTAAGGAGACGTGGTAGGATTGCCAATAAGACAACTATCAACCACAGTTAAAACGAATTCGATGTAAGCAATTATAGGGAACCATATCGCCGTCAACAACGAGACAAATCCATACCGTATAGTCGGCTATAAAAGGCATCTACGTTAAATATATGAAACAATTCAATTGAGAAAACTAACGTTCTAATTTATAACAAAACAATTTACGAGAAAAAAATATGATACGCTTTATCCAACGCCAACCACTGAGCTACAGGCTCCTGACTTGGACAGACACACGAAGAAAATGGCAGTATTAAACATGTTTGAAGGCGCCAACCCTTCCCTAACCTAGACGATGATGCAACGGCACAACACACGAACAAACAATACAAACTAATAAACGAAAATCAAATATGAGAAACAGCAATAAACGACAACCACACAATTACAGGCCCTAACTTGGGACAGGAATACATAGAATACATATAATGTGGCGGGGTTAAACATGCTTGAAGGCGCCAACCCTTTCTTGAACTTTGGACATTGGTGCAACGGCCAAGCACATCACACAAACAAACTTTACAAAACCATAAACGAAAAACAAATATGAGAAACAGCAATAAACGCAATCACTCAATTGCTTGCTACTGATTTGGTACATGTACAGTATTCACCTTTTTAAAAAAAACTTCCAAGATTGTATCTACATGATGTCAATAGTCTTTCCAAAACTTATCAATACATAGTTTGTTTAGAAGGATGTTAATCTTTTTTTACATTTTAAGTTTTTGATTTTCGAATTTAGAAAAGAACAAATCATTCATTTAATGCTTTAAGGAATCAAACTTGGCCAATTTTCTCTCATGTTACTGCATAAAGCTTTGGCTAATGTTTCCATTACTGCTTGTTTAAAACGCAAAAGAGACTCCCAATACATTTGTTAGTGTTGTCTTCTATACTCCAGGTCTACCCCTTACTGTACAAGTGCACTGCCGGTTACCGGCAATGCGGGTTAATACAAACCAAGTTTGAGTAACATTACAACTAAGGTGTGTATGATACAAAATGCTTTCCTGATTACTTTCGCGGTTTGTATATACATCCTGTTCACCTTATTCAAACAGCGATATTTATCTTCCATTTTTTAATCTTTTGTGTCTTTTTATTACAGGAAACCGAAATCATCATCTTTTTTTATTGATTTTTAAAAGATGTCCACAGACAACTGATTAGACTGTATTCCAAATTTATATTTTTCAGGTGTTTCACCTTAGGTTCTCAATTATACAAAATAAATTTCTTGGAAAATAATTACCCGTGATATCATAAAGTTGTGTCTATCGGATAATGAGCTCTTGGTGATTTTTGTAACAGCAATAGATTTACTCTACAGTATAGTATAAGAATTAAAACCTAATCACACAAAACAGCTGAAGATATCTGAAAACTACAAATAAGAAAGATCAATTGTTTTTAGTATTTCAAGAAAACAGGAATAAGAAAAACATTATTTACAAGAACCAACTTACTATTTTGAAACAATCTCCGAGTATTATTTGAAATGCATAAAAAATCAGTTTGGTTGATGATGCCTTTCAACGCAAGATTTTAGAAAACAAGGAATTTTAAAATGTAAAATTTGCGATAGTGCTAACGAAAAAGTGTACGTAGCGGCTACATTTTGATACAAATGATGTTTACAAACCTGTTTGAAATTCTTTTGATCATACAGGAAAAGATTATTGTACATTATTGACTAAACAAACTTAGGTACCTTAAAAAAAATGCGTTTATCTAAAAGCTTTTGAAAAATGTATCTTTTTTACTGTAATTATTTCTTTTGTATTATTCATTTCAGGTTATTTACAAAACTGCACCATTTCGCATTATTTGCCCTCAACCTTCTGAAAGGTATTTGAGAAGTAAAGCTAAATGTACAGATTATCGCAATTACACATGCTTATTTGATGAAAATCAACATTGTTTTAGGGAGAGCTGTTCAGTTAAATTTGACTTTCAAAGACCAGGTAAGTAGATGAAGCTGATAATCTAATATTGAAGCACTGTGTCGTATTTATACTTTATTTCCATAATTTTTGGTATTATGCAGTATATTGTTGCATTTCCGTATTTTTTAAATCTTTATGCTGTTATTTGTTCATGGTTAATCAGCGACAAACATGTATTTTTAGTGAGTTTATTTATTTTTTTTTTTTTGATATGCAAGAATTAAAGAAGAACATTTTAGATTTTGCAACATTTATCTTACGTAAGAATAGTTGTCAAAGGAGAAGGTCCGGTAAGAGCTTGTTTTGGCCTAATATTCGAAGTACATCTAATGAAAGATTTTTGACAATTTTTAAACACGTAAGTGTCTACTGCAGTCGATTCAATTAGTGTATGTAAAAGATTTGGACTGGTTTGGTCATTAAAAACGCTCAATTGGAGGCTTAAATATGAAAAATCTATCAAATACGCCATAAAACGTCACTTTTCAGATGGTTTTCGTCTAAAAAGAAAGTGGGCGCATTCGTGTTCCGTCACAATCTTTATATATGTTATGTGTTATCGTCAAATACAACATATATTTAAATATTAAGACTGAACACAAATGCGGCCACTTCCATTTTAGACAAAACACCGCCTTCAAATAAGCACAAAAGCAAACATCAGTTTAATTGAAGTCTGGAGCTGGCATGTCAGTTAACTGCTAGTAGTCTGTTGTTATTTATGTATTATTGTCATTTTGTTTATTTTCTTTGGTTACATCTTCTGACATCAGACTCGGACTTCTCTTGAACTGAATTTTAATGTGCGTATTTGTTATACATGTTATAAAACTAAGATTTAACAAATGGAAAACTTTTACAATATCGTTACATTAAAAATCAATTCCATATATCTGATTCATTTTTTGTACCGGTCATGGTGAACTGTGAAATGCTTTATTTTAATATTTCATTAATTACATTTTCTTCTAAGTACAACCAAAGTACTCGGGGTATAATATAAAAAATAAACAAGTGATGAATTATCAGCTCTGGTTGCATCATGACCAGTTTCGAACATTACAATATGGTAAAATATAAGATACAACTGCTTATTGACTGCATATACCAAGAAAAGCAACCATCTAGTAGTTAATATAATAATTGGATTCAGACAGTGAAAATACCTGTACCAAACCAGGAATATGACAGTTGTTTCCCATTCGTTTGATGTGTTTGAGCTTTTGACTTTTCCTTTGAGTTTTTGTAATTTCATTTTTAATTCATAGTGTTTTTTTCAGTAAAAACTCACGAGCAAGAAATAGACCCTTTTTCTAAATATTTTCAATAACATACCTAACCAATACAATTGTAAATAAGTATTTTCAAGATTTCACCTGTTTCTTGAACATATTTCAAGATAATTATAAAAATGTCAGTTCAATGAAACCGTATCGACTCTCCTTGAATTTTTTTCTTATAAAATTGGGGACTGACCTTACCTAAATCTTATTTACAAGTTCAGCGTCTTCAGTGAACTGCTGATAATTTAAGTTACTTTTGGATTATCTTTAGTAAAAGGAAGCACCATTACAAGCATTCAATGACCAAAATGTTTTGAAAGAAAACTACAGAAATGAATTACGTCAAATACAAAAGCGAGCAATTTTTCACAATGAACTTGTACCATATATAGTACGTTTCAGACTTTGAAAAGGGGAAAATCAATAGAAACATTTACCTTAAAAATGTACTTAAAATGCGTTCAGAGATTTTAAATATTGCCATAAAGATATACGTAATGCTTGCTTGATTAGATTTATAATGAATTATGATTATAACTATTTTGTGCATTTTTCCTTTGATCTTTTTTGGTGATAATTTTTCATGTCATGCTACTCGATTGAGATGGAAAATTATCGTCAGAAACTAAGGGCGCATGTGACGTTATCAATGTAAACATGAACGACCTCATTGGCCAAATAGCGATAAACAGGTTATCAGTGGTCTTTGAAACTCGAGGATGTTTCTTAGCCACATCTCATCTCTGGGCTGTCGCCTTTCGATAAGATTGTAGCTTAGAAAACCATCAATAATCTATAAATATCAAATAAGACAAGTATTCAAGAAATATGTAGGTTCATATTATTAATTAAATCGATGAACAACAAAATCTGGATAAGTTCTTTTTTTGTTGCAAATGCAAATTTGTCATGGTAATTTAATTTTCTTCAAACAAATTACATATTTTGTCAACAATGTACAACATACGCTGAAGAGCATATATCAGTCAATGTATAATAATGAGAAACAAAAGTCAGATTTATCTCCTCAGCATCACAGGTGGCGCACCAGCTACTGCGGTCCTTATCATCAGTTTCCGGCTTATCAGACATATGATCAATTTGCAATGTTTATCTACATTAAACATGTGTGTTTGTCCATGTATATGATATAAATAAATGAATCTAATTATTCTGTCATTACACTCTTGCTAAACAACTATAAGAAAGTGTGTAGATTACATTAAGCTAAGTTTTAATATAAAGTATGGCCAGTAATTATGGATCTTGGAGCTTACCACAGTTAAAAGTAGAATTGAAGAAAAGAAAAGCAAAACTATTAGGGATGAAGAGAGAACTTATTGAAAGGTAATACATATTTTCATATTCTTATAAGTAAACAATATGTTGAAAAATAGTATGTATTAAGTAAATGTTTTATGAAATAAGTCCATGATTTCAACTTTTTTTACTTTTCATTGGCATGAAAATGTTAAAGCTTTATTTACTGTACAGTGTGGTTATATACATTTATATGCTGAAATAATGGATAAATTCTTTTTCAATACTTTTCAGATTGGAAGCTTATGATAGAAACCAAGATTTTGAGGGACAGGAAGACCTTGGCGAGGTTTTTTTAATGATCTTGCCCGAATTGTCTAAGTATAAAGACATGAAACTGAATTTGTGGACTTCAAAATGGGTGCAGTTGAAACATACTTGGAACAAATGGATAAGTCGTTAGATTGTGTTGCAACCAGTTTATACAAGGAAACATTTCTAAAGTATATTCGTCTAGCAACTGAAAACAGTATTTTTTATGTAAAACGTGAATGCCGTGCCCAGTTGAAAAGTCAGTAACATATAATGTAGACGTATCAATTGATTGTGATGGTAGTATTTTTTAAAGTCAATGTGAATGCGCTGCAGGAATGGGTCCAAATGCTCACTGCAAGCATGTATGTTGTGTATAAATAGCTTTATACTACTTCTCTAGTAATGGTGAAATTGTGACAGAAGAAACTTGCACTCAGCGATTACAAACTTTTCATAAAAGCAAGCGTTTTAAAGGATCCTCTATAAAGGCATGTGACTTATCAGTAAGTGCAGTTAGGGCTAGCAATGTAAACTTTGACCCAAGACCAAGAGATTCCCGGAATACCTCAAATTATCAGGACTATTTCCGAAATATCTGTTTAAATCACAAATATGGTTAAACCTTGCCTATTGTTCAACTTTATCCACCAGCAAACATTTATGGAGTTGTTACAGACCATGAATATTTTTAATTTCACCCAGAGGACAAGTGGTTGTCAGAAAATTGTATTAGTACAATAACTGATGAAGAAATTTCTAAGATAAATCTGTTTCATCAGGTTAAGCAAAAAATCCAAAGTGGAAGGAAGAGAGATGCAAACGATTGCAATCCTCATCTTTTGGAAGAATTTGTAAAGCTACAGAAAGAACAGATTTCGAAAAAATGGCTCGATCAATGACAGAAATTGTAGATTTAAAAACTGCACCCATATTACATGGGCAAAAGTATGTAAAGTCTGCTTTGTAAAAGTATGATCAGGATTTTGGACGTTTTCCAGTAAACTGTGGAATATATGTCAGTAAGTCGCATCCATTCATTGCAGCAACCCCCAATGGGATTATCAACGACACAGTGATGGAAGTTAAATGTCCATTTGTACCAAAGACAAGATGATATCACCTAAAACTATGCCATTTCTTTGATACAATGATGGGAAGCTTATGCTTAATGAATCTCATAATTATTATTATCAAGTGCAAGGACAGATGTTTTGTACAAATCTTTAAAAAAAACTGTCACTTTGTAGTTTTTACATTGCAAGAAGTACAATATATACACATCAAACGAGATGACATTTTTATTCAAAACATGGTTGAAAACTGGAAGATTTTTATAAAACATATTTTCGAAAGGCTATTCTTCAAAAATTCCTTTATAAAGATTATGATAAATATTCATTTGAATGAAAAATGTTAATTGATAATATTGTCTTTAAACTATAACCACATGTTGACAACAATACGTTTGTTATGAATTTAAGATGTTAATGTATGTAGCAAGATTATATGGAGATAATCACTGCAGATTATTTTTTGATAAATAATCTTTGATTATTTTGTTATTTCTAGATCTAAATCATATTAGAAAGTATGTATGATAAATTTGATTTATTGATTTGTTTTTTTATTATAATTAGAGGTGGTTTAAAAAAACAAAAACAAATAGACTTTAGAATGCATTAATATCATGAATATGGACAAGATGTTATCACCAATGAAGCAGTTACCCAATAACACATATGAAAATAAGAAGATGTAGTTTGATTTCCAATGAGACAATTCTCAACATGAAACCAATTGACATAGAAATTAACAACCGTAGGTCACCGTACATCCTTCAACAATGATTCAAACATATACCATATAGTCAGTTATACAAGTTCATAAATAATTTCAATGTATGAACATAGTTACTGTTGTAAATTCAATATATGCTTTAACTATTTAAAAATGTAAATAAGAAAACTATTCATTCAATAAATGGAAAAAAAGATTGACATATATACAGTGTTTATTAATCTCTATATTGAAAATACATCGGTTTTAAACCAAATAAAAAAAATATGTTTTCTCATGCATTGGCTGGAACGATACAGTTCTTAAAATTGCACAACATGAAACAAACAAATTTTATTTCTATATCAAGCTTTGTCTCAGCAATGTTAAGTGGCTCCTTCAGAATTTTGAAAGTCTTAGCTAGCCCTATAATGCGTTCTATGTGCACTCCCTTGCTTGAAAATTTCCGATCCTTCATAACAGATTTACATGTCATTCTATTTTTTTACGAATAAAAGTTGGTATGTTGATTGAAACATCGTATGGGGCAAACAAGTCTTGAACATTGAAACCTTTGTCAGCCATGATTGAATCCCTATGATCAAATTTTGTCATTAAACGGCTACGTTCGCAAATCTGCCTACCGCTTGTGGAACCTCCATAAGAAGGGGATACATATGACACAAGTCCTCCTGGTGTTGCTCCCAGTAATATTTTGTTTGTGTTTCGGTTTTTATGTGTAGAAAAGGTTGACTACTGTGCAATAGGTGATCTAGGTTTTCTAATCGGACACTCAGTTCCATCTATTATTATTCTGGTTGTTGGAAATTGACGTCTAAAGTTGTAAGGACTGAAGAATCTGACTAAATCTCTTTCTGGCCATATATAAATTTCTTTCCACTGATTATACATGAAGTTAATCCATGTAATCCATATGTTAATAACAGCAGTTTCTGAAATATTGAACAACCTGCTTAACTCGAAATTTGTTTTGTGTTGGCGTAATTTAACAAGGATAAGAAAAAAACTGATTCTCTACAGAAAGCTGTTCACTTCTAAAATAAAGATAGTTCAGGTTATTTGCAACGTCTCCTCAAGACGCTAATACGAATGTAAAATCATAATGGGACTGTAATCCAGTATAAAACTTCATACCAGCAGGGTCATCTTCAAACTTTTCAACACACAATGCTGACCATGTTCGTGTTTGTGAATCTGAGTCAATAACTGGATTTTGGGAAGTTTCTGTTTGATTATTTTCAAAATTTGATTCACTGTCCTCAATTTTTGTCTGCAGTGTAATAAATTTCACTTCCAACTTCTCAGGAATCCAACTCTTCATTCCATTCAGTGATATTATTTTCTTCAGAGCTAGTGTCACTATCAGTGTCAAAACCACCACTTTTATTTTCTTCTCTTCTTGTTTTGCGTGTAGCTCTTTGAAGACTTGATGGAGATGCAAAAGTATTTGTCAACGGAAAGACACTTGGAACTGCCTCCTTGTTAAGCCTTTTGACCAGTGTTTCTGTACCTATAATATATTTATAAACATTATCAGTATACTGCTATTTAATTTTTTTTTGCTTTTTTTTTTAAATATTAAACTTTTAAGATCTATAAAGTATTTTGATAGCTCTTTTTTTTTATTTTGATAACGAAAATATTAAGATTTAAATTTTTAGAAAGAATAATGTTATCACTTTTCTTAATATAATAAGTTTAATACTTGCAGTGTATTTTTGTTTATCAGTTACAATTCATGTTTAGTTAATATGATTAAATCATGCAAATAAAAATAACTTTCTTTATCTCAAAATGTCATCAATAATGTAAACAAAATATAATACTTTCCACGGCCTGTTTCCAATATGAAATCTGTTGGTTTGAAGTGGGATCTACAAACAACACTTGTTTTTGATGGTTTCCAATATTTATTCTTGTCAGAATTTCTTCTAATTGCTTTTATCCATTTTTTTTTAATTTTTCATCTTTTAGGAAAACATGACCCCCACGATTAGAACATTGAGAAACAGAACAACATGTTGATGGCAATATTTATCTATCTTTCTCTATGTGTATTTCTTATCAGTAGGAATTTGATAGGACCGTCAGCTGAAGCTGTAAATATCGATAACTTCAGCCATCTCAATAACCGATTAAATTCAAGGAAAGTTCTGTCATGTTTTTATGATCTGCCAACAATGTACATGATTGGAATGTCTTAAAAACTGTAACCTGTAAAATAAAAAAAATTAAATAAAAAAAAAAAAATATTTTCAGAGGAGAATGGGAAGATTATCCGGCCAAAATGTCGTGATGATTTATCAACGACTTACAATATGGTACATTCAATCGGCTTTTCATAACCATTTGAATCTAAAAGAAAGAAACTCGTTCTAGCATTTAGCGCGAAATTAAACGGCATTGTATAAATTGTAGACATTGTCTGTATAAGTTTTACCTGTATATAACTTAAGGTAGCACAATACAAATGCTAAAATTTTATAAAAATTTCATTTTCAGCTGTTTTTGTTACTTCTTAATATTATAAAACCACAGAAGAAAAATAAGTTTCCATATCTTGCACTTTTAATGAGTTTTGATGATAATTAGTTTTATAAACAAATGCACGTGTCTGACTGATACAAATAAGAAAATGTGGGCAGTACTTTGTGGTTAATCAATAGAATCATTTGATAGCTTTATGACCACTGACCAGCTATAAAAATAACAGTCATAGAAAAGAGATTGAATTTGGGGTTTATAGAAAAAAGCAGATAATGAAATCCAGATAAAAAGAAATTTCTATATTGGAGCTTCCAGGAGAAAAAAATGGTTTGGAGCTATAGAGGGAATCAAATATAAATGTACAGATATTTAACAAATATAATTGTACAACAATTAATGTTGCTGATGTTAATGCTGGTGATTATATCAGATTTTCTTGAGGGGAATGTGTAAATATGAAATTTTTATAAAAGAAAACAAAAAATCAAATATTTTATTTTCAAACTACAAAAATAAGAACATTTTACTTTGTTTTAAAACACAATATTTTCATTGTATACAATTATAATTCTAGAAATCCCCCATAAGAATCCCCTAGACTGACCAACTGATGATTTTATGTACACATGCATAACTTACTTTTTGGGAAAATGTTAAAAACAAAATATATTGTTTCATGTACTATTTGAATAAAAAATCCATATTGAAAAAAAGCAAATGCAATGTGTAATTAAACTTCTCAGATCAATAATGGTTGATGTTTATCCAGGTGTGCGGAGTTTTGACCATATAAGTAGCAGCTAACTTACAGCAAGGTCAATAATGATATAACTTCTCCCGCCAGATCTGGTTTTTGATGCATAGGGTGTGCATTTACTTTATATATTTAGAATTGCTAAAATAGAATTCTTTCTTACTGGTCAAAACCTAATTGATTTATGATTAAAGGCCAATCCTGATGTATTCCCCTGTGTGAATCAGATTGAAATTAATGAGGTTCAAATAGGAAAATCCTTATTTATTCAATTGTGACACATACATTTTTGTCATGAAAATGTAGTTTTAAATGAAATTAGCTCCTAGACAGGTGCCCCTATATGCCTGATATTACCACATGATGTTCCTTGACCAGTTATCTTAAAAACCGTGTCTCAGATTTCCAAAAACTTCAATAGAACAAATTTTATACCTTATTAAATTGATTGATTTCTTATGAAAGAAGGTTGCAAACTTAATTGAAAGGTTATGAGAGAATGAGATACAATAGGAAAAATATGGGACATTGTTTTTGAGGTCACACTGTATTGCACAAGAATCTATCAAAAATGTTGGGATTCTATGAATAACGAAGAAGCTAATTTCATTCTAATGTGGACATCAGAATTTAGCAAATAACTACATAATAATCAACTACATAATAATTATGTAACAATGAAATTATCACCATTTAAAAGATTAATCTTTCTTCTGTCTTTTGGTTCCTCATTTATGAATTTTAGAACTGGATGAAAGAAATCACGTCCGTTTAAAGTTGTCTGATTGGGGGTGAACGAATCTTTGTATTGTGCTACCTTAATATAGCAATTTCTAACAATTGTTCTTGCTGAGATTAAACAAATAACACAACAAATCAATTTAATAAATAATTGATATAATCATGTGATAATTGCATTATTTTTGTATGCATGTAAAATATGACAATCGATTCGTTGATTCTATCTATATTTTCATTATATTATATTGGCCACTATACATTTAATGACTACATTTATTTCGAAGCAAAAAAGAAATACATTTCAACCATGTTCTGAGGGTGTAACAAAATACATTCACTATACCACACGGTATCTACTTATGGTGTATTTTAAAACGTAATCTATCATTGTATTTATGACCTTTTCAACTACCTTTAGGTTATAGAGTTACTCTGCGAACGAATCTTCATGGCGGGCCTTGCCCAGATGGTCTATATCAACCTTTCACCTTTTTCACCAACATATCCAGTAATTGTGAGTTGAAGCGGTCGTTTTGCAGCGCACAGGGTCAAATAGTATCAAGTAATGGTACAACAAGAACGGATAGGCAATGCCGGTGTAATTATGCCAACGGATATTCGTATGTGATCAAACCAAAAAATATATGCTCTTGCATTCCATCAGAAGAAGATTGTTCCTGCTATCGCAAAATATGTTTAAAAAACCACATTCTTTCTCCTGGTATGTTTAAAATCATAGCTTTATATAAAAGTACATTTTAAGGTGTTGCTAGATTTTACATGTATAATCAAAACGTGCAAATGCTAATTATTAATAGGAAACTTTTTTCCGGAATTATCTATAGCTAAAATTCGATATAGTAAACTGACTTGGAGCTGATTTTTCAAAAGAAAAAAATATAACAGAGGCATTTTGTTATTTACACACGCTTACTTGTTCAACTATAGAACTTATTTGGTTATTTTTCAGATTATCAATGTATCAACCAATTAAGTTGGTCCGGTAAATTTCTTTGTTCCCAAATTTCAGATTTACGGTAAGACATTATAGTCGTCTATTTAGAAATGAAAGTTAGATAGCGTATAACCTGTAGTTTCTACGGTAGTAAACTTTTTTGCTATATTTGGTGGTCAACAGCAGATCGCAAAAATTAAAATCCGCAAAACGTTATGTCCAAAACAGCATGTGATTTAGATCGATCGGTTTTCTGAAGTTTAAAAAGAAATCACTTACACTGACACTTACACCAGAGGTTTTTTGTCAACTATAGTGTGTTTCATGTTTTATGTGTTAAAATAAATTCAGACTTTTTATATATGTATCTAATCTCTCTTCATATTTATAAAGTTTCTAGCTGTCCAAATTTCTTATTTAATTTTTTTGACATGAATTGCAAATCAGAATTATTAAAATTCGCAGAAAAAAGATACACACTCTTGCAGGCCAAATATCACAAAATGTTTCGATCATACGGTATGACATCATAACAAAAACAAAACAAATCCCGAAAAAAACTTAAAAATATTTTCAGTTGTCATTATTCTTTTATTGTATAGGGTATGATTTTTCGCTCTTTATGCTGGCAATTTTCGGCAATCACATCCCACGTTCGTATTTGAATTTAATAAAAGCAACACTAGTATACCGGTGTTCAAAAGTCATAAATCGATTTAGAGAAAACAAATCCGGGTTACAAACTAAAACCAAGGGAAACCAATCAACTATAAGAGGAAAACAAAGGAACAACAGGAACACTGAAGTGCAACAAAAGCAAAAGCTAACACACATAGAAACGAACTATTTGATAACAACTGCCACATTCCTGACTTTTAAGAAAAAATGGTGGGTTGAACCTTGTTTAATGGCTAGCCAAACCTCCCACTTTATGACAATGTTAAAAAAATATCGCTAAAAGGACAACACTACGTGAAAGAAATACAGCACATACCCAGCAAACACACAACATTTTAAAAACATTTTTTAAATGTCATATGGACGTCTCTCACATAATATTTCAATAAGATATCATTTAAACATAAAAAAAAATGTTTATTTTATTGTTTTTGAAATGTTTTATTTCTAACATTTAAGTAAAATGCTTTTACAACATTAACAAAATATTATTTGCTAATATCTTTTATTCATGTTCTCAAACATTGTTCTAAAATATCCCGTAGATATTTTATAATATAAAAAAATAATATTTTCTTCAATTGGTATTTTATATTTTAACAACATTTAAAGTAAATATTTTCCAAATATCCAAAACACATTCTGCAAAAAAATGTTTTACAGAAAATATAGTTTTGCTATTTGCATAAAATGTTTTATAACGTAAAATTAAAATGTTTTACATAAAACATCTGAAAAATATCAGCTAAATGTTTTCTATAAAATATTCTGACATACACATTACTTAATAGTCTTACTGATATTTTATTCAACATTTTACGGATATAAAATAACATTTTATTTAAACTTTATTCAAAACCCCACAAACAACGTTTTGTGGAATTAGCTCGTTTTTTTCAGGATAAGATATAGTACTACATTTCATCAACATCATGACAAGCAAGATACTATGGTTGAAATCCTTTATTGATATATTGAAGATCCTTGAAGTCAGATTTTATTCCTTCTTATATTAAAATTCAAAAGAGTCAACATTAAATTAAGCAATAATGTATTAATAAACAATTACCTTTCTTAAATGTTTATAAATTTCGTTCGTGTATATTTTAGAAATTAAGAAATGAAAACTGTAACTGTACTAAGTTCAATTTTCGTATCGTTTATATGCCTTACGGAAAACCGACCTTTTCCGGAATCGACTTTTGTTTTATCACCGGAAATGATTTTGAAATTTGAATTTCGAAACGAAGACAGGATATCAACAAAGAGAGCCAAGAAAATTGTTTGTTACGCGATATATACTCACTTGGTAAGAATAATTAATCTGTTAAGATGAAACTTGTGCATTCATTGTGTGTGTTCAATCATAATCGGAACCAAATTACATCTGTTTCTGGAGGTGCGGATCAAGGTTTTGAAAAAAGGGGGCCCTGCCCAAGGTAAGCAAACGTTTGGAGTGATACTTGTAAATAGTCTATACATTTATCTTATAAGTAGCTCCATAAGGGGGTCGGGGCCCCTAAATCCGCCACTGTTCAAACATCTACGTACACCAATTATGAATTTGTTCATTGATATAAAAAAATTATAAGAATATGTGGCTTGTGTATGTGTTTGATTGCCAATACACCTTATAGCTATTTGTCCGCCATTACTGGCCATGGACATAAAAAAAGTTCCCGTAAAAAGTTGACGTCATATTAGAAAATATTTGACACCACAATTGAAAGTAATACACCTTATCGCTATTTGTCCGCCATTACTGGACATCACACAACTGTCACAAGTTGCCTTAAAATTTTGACGTCATCATAAAAAATATCTGATACCACAATGGAAAAGTGATTGTTTTTTGACGTCAAAAGTTCAAGCAGGAGAGATTCTCAGGTCAAGCGGGAATAGCGATAAGGTGTATTATTGTATGACGTATGCTGACGTAAAAAGTTCAAGCAGGACAGATTTCCAAATACTGATAAAGAAATTATAGGTCACTGTACGGCTTTCAAAACTGAGAAAACCAATGCCATATAGTCCACTTTGAAGCCTTGACAAACAAATGTTAAATTTTTCTCAACACAGTTGAAACAAAACAACTAACTGCCTACATTAAATACACATTATGAAAAAGAAATTTGACAGACTTAAACCAACAACAACTATTGCAATAAGCATGACTCAATACCTTGTTTCCGAGGCACACAAACAAGCAAGTTACAATAACACTTATATAAGCACCATGTGAATAAGGAGATTTATCTTCTAGTAAAATCAGTGTATGTATGTATTTGCAAAACAGTAAATTAAATTTCCCTTAACAGCTTAATGAACATTACAAAGACTATGTAAGACTTCAGTACAAGCAAGATAATATAAACTGTTGCTTAAAATTATATTAATTGCTTCATACACAATGTACATACAGTGTATCTTTTATTTTTGAACAGGAGCTAAAAGAAAAGCCACAAAGGACAAGTTAAATATGCAGGTTTACAATTTGGAAGTGGCGCAGGTTCTTTGGAATGTCTACAACCTTTCAGGAGAATTTTTTTTTGAAGTAAGATTTTCAATCAGAATTACTGTTATTCCATATTTAATTCAAATATTTAGCATAAACAATGCATTACATTCAAGATTAAGGGCATACAATACAGAAAAGATATCTGGATATTTGAATAAATTATTTTTTTTGTGACAAAATAGAAACAAGTTGTTTATTTAAATCAATCTTTTAGTCCAACAGTGTGCTTTCATAAACATCATATTTGTTTTCCTTTGAAGTATTTCAAATACATATAAACAACTCATTTAATGACATCTGTGTGTTTCTCGGAAGTTAAGTTATATTATTATCATCATTGCGAAAACAATGCGTTACACTTCGATAAGTTATTATATGACTATAGTATACTTCTAGGACTGTATCATATGCCCTTAGATACAAATGACAAGTTATAAACTATGTCACTCTACAGAGTTTAACACTTAAAAAGGACAATAAGATGGATAATGACATTATGTAGCAGGGCTTTTAAAGGCCCCTACATGATACAATGCATTTAATGAAAACTAAAAAAAAACAAGAAAAACAACAGCCTGATTTATACAAAACAATAAAAGAAAAAAATATGATAGACAACAATCAACGAGTATAATGAAATAAGACTCTTGACTGGACACATATCTAGTCTAAAGATTTTTATGTGTTTTTTTTTTAATAACTAAATGCTATTGCTCTCTCTTAACACCGTCAGCCATTTATCGTCCCCTTCCGACAGACTATCATGGTTATTTGTTTCAAAACTTAAAAGGGGAGGGGATGTATATCCTTCAGGCAACGTGACTCGTTCTATAATAAAGGAATGTGCAAGAAGTTTATATATGAATGTAAGATTTTTTTTTTCAGAAGCATGGCACAGTAGGAAAAAGATATAAGACACTACAAGACATTCCAAGTGATTTTGAATAAGACAATTGATTGACTTTTTCAATGTATTCTTAAATAAATCAAATAGTTGATGTAAAATGGTGTTTTGTTCTCATCTCTTCAGCCAATTATCAATGATTATTGACTTAAGATGTAACCCTATTAGAAGTGTAGCGTTTTAGTTTAGAAAGAGAAGTTGTATTGATAAATCTGAATTTGGGACACAAGTTTTAGTCAATGTAACTTGAACTTAAAAATGTGTATAATGTTTGCATAATGTCCAATGGCATATATGTCATGTATGTTCAGGTTGACATATGCATGATGTGTATAAGATAGGTAATAAAAGTTGAGAGGAGTGAAAAACTAAACATTATACCATTGTGGTTGGAATGTGGGCTTTCTTGCACTGTCTGTCGTCTGTCCACCTATATTTGTCGGATTTTGTCCAACAAATATTTTCATCACTGTTTTTCCCAAAACTGCTGATAAAGATGAGTTAATATTTAATGAGCTGCTTGATAGTGATGAACTGGGATGTGTGAACATTTTTGTATCTGGCACCTGTTTCCTGTTTGCTTATACATTGTATTTCAAAATGTTGAATGTTCTCAAATTTTTCATTACTTTAATTAGTAATGCTGATGAACAGAATGACTTCATATTTGGTAAGTGGCTTGACCATGATGAGTTGTGTCACATTTTGGATGTGTCAAAATTTGTAGATACTTTTTGTTTTTTGAGACTTTGAATTGTGAATTTCATATATGCTTAGCAAAACAACTGATTTATTCTTGTTTGTATATAGAATTAATCACTGTGTATAAATTAATTTAACTAATGATTTGTTATTTAAAAAAGCAGGAAACTCAATCAAAAGTACAGACATTTTTATATTGATATGATCTAGATATCAACCAAAAACATCTTCTTAAAACATTTTGAAAACATTTTTTAGGCACAGTCTCACTTGCAAGAAAACATCCAAAATACATTTTTATAACATAATTTGTTGTTCATGATGTTTTTCAAACGTTCAGAAAATATTTCTTGAAAATATTTTTTAAAAGATTATCAAAATGTTTTATACACCATTGTTTTTCAAATTATCATGATATTTCTTTACAACATTTTAATTATATTATGCAAATATTTTAGAAAATATATTAGAAAACGTTTTAGAGATATATATTCTACCATACATTTAATGTTTTTCTCACGTTTTTTTGTGATATTTTCATGACATTAGACACAACATTTTAAAGATGTTTTTGTGTTTGCTGGGTATACACGTAAGAACATTTATCACAGAGAAACGCACAAACAAATAATATAATAGTCGAAACAACATGCAAACCGCAGAACAACAACGAACATATTCCATCAACGACAGACACCACAGGATATCGAAAACAGTGATGCGCTTACGTAACTAACATGCAATCTAGAACTTCATTAACCTTATTCAAGAGAGCAGGTCGAAGAATGTGAAATTCGAGTGCTGCATGTGAAAAAGTATTTTCCTTACCTTCCGGAACACGTGAGATCAAACCCGGACTTCGATTGAATTCATGTGGCAAATTCATTAGTTTTCTTTGTAGAGTTTTGTGGACTTTCGTTGTTTTTTGAAATTCGTAGTTTTTTTTTGTTTTTTTTTGCTATAGAATTGTCTGTTACTTTTCGACTTAGGAATTGTGAGTGTCTCTATGGTACATTTTATCGGCTACCTATTTTCCAATGATTTATGAAACGTATAAAATTACCAAGGATAATCTATATTTTTATTATTAAAAATGAATAATGCATTCTGGAAGTAAGAGATTTAATATATTGATTATCTGTGTATCTTTCACATGTTTCAGTATTACCCCCTGAGATCAAGACCAAAGCCGATATGTTACAAGCAAATTATGCCGAATTGTTTGCGATAGCAAACTTGACCCTTTTCCATTCATATCCGTTCTTATAGTCTGTTTTGCTACGAACAAAAAGAGCTGTTGGTAAACATAAAAAACAATCCCACACTAAACGAAAAAATAATGCAAAAAACAATTCGAGGTTTAATTACACAATTCTGTCAGGTGTGTATTTTATATTTATGCTCAAAATCGTCCTGGTCTAAGATGTCGATTTAATTCCACAGAGACTATCAACAATCATCAATGCAATCAACCTCAAAGTTTCTTTAGCATGGAAGACTTTAAGATGCGATGAAAGATAATCACTGACGAATTTTATGACTTGAGACAAGCACATGAATCTGGGCGAATTACGATTATCTTGTATTTAAGATCCCATCCTCCCTCTTTAAATTCCGATTGCTGGACAAAGTCGTAAAAAGAATATACAATATAATGAGGAACATTGCGTTTTGCAATTTACAGTATAGGAACAAACAAAAAGAACAAACAGAAATATTAATAAGAAACAATTTTATTTTGAGTCTTTCGTCAAAATTTCGGATGTTCATTTAAAAAAGGCATAACGCAATTTGTTGAAAGACGTAAACATTTCCATATATCTACTAGTAGATTTTTTATTTCATTCTTAAATTTTGATCGAGTATGACGTTCATGTTTTTAATATAATTACAGTGTGCCTAAAGTGACTGTATCGAGTAATGAGATACGTAGGACAGAAGAACGAAGAGGCAAGTATATTTTTGAATTTTCGTACTCCAATCAATGCTTTATACAATCATGTTTTTTATATTACTCATTCAAATCCACTAATGCCTAAATAGGTAACATGTTTATAAGGGATATCTGGAAGTAACAACATTAACAATATTAATTTTACTGTAACAGCTGAACATTTTGACAACTACATCTCTTCAGTGATACTTGTGGCCAAATGATGAAAGTTCCTTAACCTAATTAATACGACAAAAAGCCGATAAAACCAAGCATGAACAAACGTATGGCCAAACCCGGATAGCTATACAAGGTAGATACATTCAAAAATACAAAATGATTTCATAAATTTTGATAAAACAGTATCGATATTTACATGCTAGTTCCGAAGTTTTGGTTACTGAGATGGTAATACTCTATGGGACTAACAGTCCACCAGTAGAGATATCGATCCATTGGAAATAATAACATCAACAGTACCATGGTGCGCATTCGTCTATCTCTTCCGTGATGCTCGAGGTTAAAATTATTTGAAATTCCAAGAACTAGTGCAAACTATGAAAATCTAATTTAACCACAAAAAACCCAAAGGTATAGCCAAACAATGAATCAGAGATTGTATGGATGAGGAAAATACATTCTTGATTTAAATCGATTTCCGAAATTTTATAGATTGAACGTACCAATGCTTTGACCACCTTAAAGAAAGTCACATAGCCTACAATAAGATGATTTAATGGTAAAATCATAGAACAATTTTATCTTCCTAGCAGCAGCGTCCTAAATATTAGTTAATTCAAACGCAAAAAACAATATATTCTTGCCGCTTTCGACAAAGATCTCTGTATTGCTGTTGATGAGAGCAACCGCATAAAACTCCGTATTACTAGTTTGCCATATCTGTTTGCTAACGATAATTGAGCCAGAACATGACGTTTACCCACACACGTTTTAATGGCAAACTGCATAGGCCATGTTGACTGTTGTGAACAATACTGCAATGTACTGGTTAGCCAAACCGGTAAGCTACAGAGATGGGAAAGGCCATTACTATAAAAAATCGGGTATAGAACCAAATACCTGCCTAGTTCCAACACTTGGCGTGAACATGCTACCACTGACTAGACCATTGAGGTGATTTCGTGACATTATAGTGTCAAAGCACACAGCATACTTTTAACCAGTAAGTTAAAACGAAATATTTTTAGATATAAACGCACCCATCAACCCCAATCTTTGATTATCCCGCAATGGTGGTAAGTCGTGCACTTAAGGCCATTTTTTATTTTATTTTTCTGTAGACTTAGCTTTGTTTTTTTATTACTGTGTATTGTCAAGCTTGGTTACTCATAATTGTTTCTCAGTCACTGAATGTACGATGTTGTTCCATACTGCAGCAGCTGACCCGATTTGTTTACATTCAAATTCTAATGGCTTCAAAACCACGTGACACATTGAATCGTTATATCCAATCAAATTGCTCTACTGTCAATTAGGTGATTTTTTTGTACAAGGCAATTATATTATTTGTTTGTATGATATTGCTTTGAAATAGTTTGCAATAAATTGGGGGTTTATTCAATAGCAAAACCTCATGCAATTTGATATCAATGGAATTTTATATGAATATTAACTTATGGTCAGAATATCGATCTCTTTATATTGAACCAATTTTTTCTTTAAGAAAAATATATGTATATTGTTTTTTATTAGCCTACAATGTACTCTATATTCCTGAACAAAAATATGGCATGATTATCGTTTGTTTCCCAAGGATTTTCTTTCAATTTGGATGTTTTTTTTCGCGGGAAAATCGCATAAGACGTAATGTGCTTGCCATTATGAAATTCTTAAAAATACAATTTGCTTGGCCTGTTTGGTCTGCCATTAAGATTGATGACGCTTAATGGAATGTAAACAAAGCAAACGAGGCCGGAAGAGGGGATTTCAGAAGTTCTGAAATGTTTATACGCATTCGGAAGTCGGGTTTGAAACGGCCATTAGAAAATTGGCTTTTTTGTACAATACTTTAAAATAACAATGAAAACATATCTTTAGAAATGTTTGTTTATTTAGAAGAGTAGAAAAAATGTATTCTGCACTAATTTTGTACGCTGGTATTAGCGTAGTGACGTCAATGCGGAGTTTTCCCGTGTGATAAGTACAATAACAAAATCCGAACGAACCAACATTATGACCGATTATAGACTACGGTAGGATACAGATAATTGCAAAGAAGAATTTATTTTATCAATGTACCCCTGATCGTTTATGTAAATCTACATATAATGTCAAAAGGTAATCTCGTGTGATTCAGCATATTCTATTTAATTTACAATAATTAGACACAAGGGTTAGATTAGTTAAACTAAGTAGCTATTATAACATTGATTCAAAATTCAAACGACTTTTATTAGTCATAAATTTTAGTCCGTGTTGAAACCTGTTAAACCGATATTGTCACTGTTATGGTGCAGAGACGAAATAGTAAAACAAGATGGACTATCACGGTGTCAGTCTTTTTCAAATCATTTTTAAAAGTTACATGGACATTATATGATGAAGAGTCACAGTGTTAAATATATTTGGTAATAAATTTGCACTGTAAAAAAGAATAAAAACAGTTTAATAGTTTCCATATTATATGGAATAACCGTCAGTTTGCAAGCTTTTATAAACAAATCATACGTTTGCCATCTATGAGAACAACCAATGACAATCAAGGTATTAATCTCATAAATCGACGAAGGAAAGAAATTAAGGTAACAAACAAATCAAAGGGAGTCAAGACCGGGTGCGTTTACAAGGTAAGCGGCTTCTGCTAAGCATGCATCACCCGCCTTTAAAATCCGCACTTAGTCAAAATATCCCAATTAAAAACTTATAAAATCAGCCAAATTATAGATAAAGAGATTATTTTGGTATATAAAGATTTGAGACTGCACAAACTTGTCGCTAGTCAGTTGACCAATTGCAATTCGTGATGTTGACAGTTGAAGTGTAGATTTCGGTCGTCGTTTCTCATAACTCTGTTGAGACAGTTTTTGTGAAAGGAGTACATTCCTGCTTATAAAATGAACACGGACAAGCATGGCGTATCAATTTACATATATGCTTGACGTCGTCCACATGTTCTAAATTGAAAGAGCTAAACAAAATAAATTTGCACATATTAAACGTCATATCATTACCTTTAATGAATAGCTTACATTAAAGAAAACGGTACGGGTTTTGTTCGTTTGCTCTTTTAAATAGTTGGATCGCTCTGATTTTACTCAAAATCTGTTTTGTTCAGCATCACTTTCTATTAGATTTGGCAATAATGAAAAGCGCACATGATTACAAAATGAAATAACCAATTCTGATACAATTAGTCTAAAGAAACCAAACACGGAAAACTATGTACACAGATATAGATGTATAAACGTAATCTTTGATTACGTATTGTCTCTCATTTTTTAAATTCATAACCTTTTTGTCCCCCGCAAACGTTTTCTCTGTCAAAGTTTATCAATATACTTAATAATTTTAAATTCATTATCTTAACATATTCTTGAACACATACTGTTATAATAATTTAGTCTTTCCACTCTTCCGAGGAAAGACCTTTTGATTTGTTTATGCTTATAAGGATTTTCTGTGGAAAGACCTTTTCATATTGTTATGAATATAATTATGAAGTCTTTCTTTTTCCAAAAGTAAAAGACTTTAAGTTCAAGACCATTTGCGAACTCACCCCATGATTCGTAATATATTGTCGGTCCAAAGTAATCTACCAAAGACCAAACAACCTTGCTACGGGATAAAACCCGTAACCGCGTAAGGTAAACAAAAAGCAAATGGTGGAATTTGTTCAGGACCATAACCTAGTTCTTCATTATGTTTGGACCGAAAAGATTTAAAGACTCATTGGTAGGGTCATACCCCTTTGAAAATTAACCAATGTCGGTTTACCACTAAAATATGAAACCTTGTGTCACCAAGGATCTTCACTAATGATCATCATTTAATGTGACCTTGAAAATGTTAATATTGACCTTTGACCTTTATACCTTGTTATGGGATAATATGAGAAACCATTATACGTAACGTCGTACTATGTCTTGAATGGTGGAAAAAGATAAAGAGATAGATTTTTTTTTTTTTTTTTTACGATAACAGATATTTTTATTCAATCATTTCCTGATACATAAATACCTAAGTAGCCCAGGTCGCATACTTAGGGACCACTGTATTTTTAACAGCCTCACTTGACCAGGGAAAAAATCAAATAAGTTTAAACTCCCATAGTTTTACATACATATTTAAATAACCAATACAATTGATTTTACCTGATAAGCATCACTGTAATACATAATTATTATCGTATATCCGGTTCACTGACTACCATGTGTTGATTTAAACTTGAAAACTATATATTTGATTGGGAAAAATGAGAGTTATAATTTGAATTGGAAATAATTGGTGTGATTGAATAAACATTGAAATTATTCTGTAATATACGTATGGATTATAAAAGGATAAAGCACACGTGGTAAGTACTAATGTAGTTATGTAGTTAGAAGCATGATATATGTGGTAATTTACTAATATACATAATATGCACAGACATAGATTCAAATATCGGTTACAGTAAAAATATTAGTTTTCTTTCTGTAAAAATAACATATTGTTCACTAAGTTCTAAGACTTCCTAAGATACTATAACATTATTATATATGTAATCGAACACACCTTTAGTTTAGAACAGTAGAACTAAGTAAATCTTCTTATATTTTTTCGATAAAGAGTTCAACTTTTGCTCTGCATATATACTTTATATCCGAGCGCAGCAAGAGTAGTTTAAATTCGTTTTTATGTGCAATTTCAGCAAAGCCTGTATAGACTGCATATTCAGTTTAATTTTATCAAATTTGCATTTATTACGTATTTTCCAAATAGCCCATTTAAAATAAAGTATTATTGCGTTAACAATTGTATTATTCGAATTATCTGTACAGATCAGATTCCTAATAAA